GGGGCAATATAAGTAATTTCCACTTTTATAAATAAAAGTCGAAGGCACGAGACCTTTCAGTTCCCGCGCTTCACGATAAATATCAGAGAGAAGAGTAGCTGAAAAAAGCTGAGAGTTCCAGAATTTAAAATTAATTCTCGAGAGAGTAAAATGGAGAAGATCGGTGACGAAAGAGGGGGCCAGACTCAGGCAATGAAGTCTCAAGTCGCCATTAGATGTGCTAAAGCTGCGATTCTTCTCTCTTCCCTAAAAAATTCCCCTAACAATTCAACTTCAAACATTGCCGTAAAGGTCCCTCTCTTTCTCTAACTGTGAATACATTTGTGTGTGCGTGTGTGCGTGTTTGTTCGTACGAATGATCACAGTTTCTGTTGATTATCTTCAAAATAATTGTTTAATTTGTTCGAGTTTGATCTGAAGTCCGGAATGTAGATATCCAGACACGAACACGCCCACTAATAACTGATAGAACAGAGTTGATTTGGGAATATATAAATTCATACTGTTATTTTGTGGTCTTCAGACTGAAGAGGAAATTGAGGAGCTAAAAAGAGCGTTGGTGAAGGAGAAACTGAAGAACAAGAAGCTGAGGATTTGTGTTGAAATGGAGTTGCTCGTATTCTTCCTCTGGACTCTCTTTTTGCTGGTCGTCTTTTGAAATCATTGTTGCTTTCACCAGTGGAACTTCCTATGTTTTCTGTATGTATAGATATGATAGTTTCAACTGATGCTTTTTTAGCTGAACTTCTAATGCAGTAGGCTATAAATAGTTGACACTGCTTGATATGTCAAATTGATTTTGGGATTTTTGAAGGCTGTGAAATGTGGAGTTTGATTTGTCACTTTGGTTAATTTTGTATCCCTTCTTGTTGCTAATGGTTGACAACACCTTGCATAATTGTTTGGTTATTTTCATTTCATTGAGCCTTGTTTCAGCCCCATTTTTCTAAAAATTTATTTTTTCAAAATTCATCTTCAACTGCATTATTCAGAGGTTGTTTGGGAGAGAT